CTGATGTGTGTGTATTTGCTGCTGGTGTGCATGTGTGTGCATGTGTGTGTGTGTGTTGTTAGATACACCCCTTACTGGATAAGTATTTTTCCAACAGAAAAATGCTGCCCATTCTTCTTCCTTGTTAAGATAGTTTAAAACGATGTAGATAAATGGATCTGAAATGTGTTTTGCAGAACACAAGAGTTTCTTTCTTTCTCTCTTGGAGTTACTGGAGAATCTCACCCAGGGCTGGGAATATTTGTGAGGGATGAGAGATTCATATGTGTGATGAGGTGTCTCTGAGATTTTTGTATTTTTCATGCCTTTCTAACAGCAATTGTCTGTCCTTGATTCTTTTGAAAATAGATGCAAAAGTAGTAATTTTATACATATCCATGCATAAATGAGCCCCAAGATGTGTACATTAGCATATTTTCAATTGGCAGAAAAGATAATGTTACTGCATTTGTAAGATGTACACAGCTGCCATCCATGTACTCAAATAGTCCTCAGGTTTTACTTGTATTTCTCGTAGAGCTGTGCCTTTCTCAAACACCGTGCACTGACCTTGGACCATCGGGCTGACTTGTGATGATCTTGCCTGCCCTGCTGTGTCTATTGTTTTACCTGTTCCTTTTTATAGTTTCCCAGTTCAAACTCTGCCAAAACTGTATCATGTAGACCAATACTCCCACAAAAGAGAGCCCCTCCCATGCTCAAGGAGAGTCTCAGATCACAGGACCTTTTTCAGTTTCACTTTAAATTATAGACAAGGCAATATTGGTAGCCCGGATGGTGAAGGTGACTGTAAGTACAGGAATAGCAGCCACGGTGTGCTCTTGCATGCATCTAAGGCATCTGGCTAAGTTCTGCACATAAACTGTATTATCACACAGCATTTTGTCTTGTATAATATGCAGATGATGTTCATGTTGCCTATGAAAAATCAAATATGAAACCCCTTTCCTCACTACAACCTGTCCAACTTTCATGGTCATAAGTGCCCAAATTTGGAGGGTGTCTGCTCAGCCCCTCCCTCCCACTGTATCCCAGATCTCTTCTGACTTCTGGTTGTGGCACATTCTTCTCTAGTTTTGAGCTATCTGATGAGACTATGTACCGCAGGTTGTCCCCGATCCAGTAACTGCAAGATAACAGCATGTCTGTGGTTAATCCTTCCTTGATCTGAGTATTAACTAGGTTTTGAACTGTGGTATTTTTCAGAGTCTCTCCCAGCCTTTGATTACTGGCTCAAAATGAGCACAGAAGTTTCTCTGAGTGTTCCTACTGTACTTACATTTTGTTTTCCATAAGGTGCTCATTTGTCTTATCTTTTTCTTGATATAGCACTCAAAATGTGACCCATTTTACACTTTCATCTATATTACTTTCCCAAGGAAATGTATTGATTCATTTATTTTTTAACCTTGTTATGTTGTGGATATAGCCCCTATCATTACACAGCAGTTCATCCTGCATGAAATGGAGATTACACTGAGGGCAGTGTGATTTGTCCCATATGAGAAATCAGAGCGTTGTGTTTGATATTTTGGTAGAACCAGATGCTGGCTCAGCACTGTCACTTTCACAGTTGTTTTGGGGCATGTCTTATAGATCACCCTGTGGATGGAAGAAACTGCTTTCCGGTTCTCTGTTCCGTGAGGCTATGCTCAGCCTGGCAGGTGTGTGCTGGATGAGGCTTGGCTAGGTGGGGACACTGATAGATCATTTGTATTACCTGTTTTCACATTGTCTAGAGTATGTTTTCTAGTAAAGTATTAATAAAGAAGGAACTTTATGCCTTTTTATGTAACCTCTACAGACAAAAACAGGACAAAGTTATTTTGCTAATACAGTTGTGTGTCATCCACACAATGTGGAGATGACTGGATAGTTGCCCTTATATTCTGTCTTCGTTCTGATGCTCCATGTGAATTAAAAACATAAGTGGATACTCATGAATGTAGCACTTTCTTGTATTACTGCTCTGGAGATCATTCTTCGGATCTAAGAAAGATTTTCCAGTTTCAGGTAAGGACCCAGGGGTTCCCTGACTTCCTGAATGGTGAGTAAATGTAGTGCATATGCACAGATATTCCACCTCAATCCTTCATGTTTGTACAGCCACAGTTCCCTAAGCAGTGAGAAAATAATACAGTTGTATTCCCTCAGTTCATGGAAGATTCAAACATGCTATTTGGCCTATTTTACAAGTTTTATGCCAGACTCAATTTTTAAAAACAATTACAATAAAGCATCACTTTTGCAGTAATATCATAGGGAGGCTAGTTTATGATTTATATTTTGTATTATCACATAATTCTCTTATATTATCCTTAAATGTTCTATGTACCAGTTGAATGGTATTTCTGTAAAATATTATGATGTTATATTTGTACACTACATGAAATAGATGTTCAGGAAATAAGAATCTCCATTTCTAAGTGCCTGAAAGACCAAGAGGACCACTGAGGCATGTCTTAATGGTAGCACATGATCCACAAGTGTCCGAGAGCCCTGATAGTCACGTGAGTATTTTCTGATGTTACCCCTCAGCAAATCACAGAAACAATTTTAATTTGCTGACTGTAAAAATGGAGAAAATTTTGTTACTTCCCTCTATCAATACCTTGGAAAAGATTGTTTTTCTAATTCTTCCTAGAAATTTCAATTTTATAAATCAAAACTTGCACAGGATTTAGACCAAGTCTCCACCTCTTAAGTCTTGAATATGATCATTAGTTCACGTTTCAGGTTTCCTTCAATTACTCATAAAGCAATATATTCTGAGTAGCTGTGAAAATCTAGTCTTAATCTATGATATTCAGATGATTAACCTGTGAAAATATGTTTCTGCACACATGTTACCATATTAGGATCCTGAAATGAAATCTGTAAAAATGCTTGCTTTAAACAAAATGGCTGATTACACAGAAAGATAGTCTACAAGCTGGTCAGTACCAAATTCTTCAGTATAAAATTCATATTTGATCCCATATGTCTCCCAAAATATTCTTTCTTGTTTCAGGGAAGGATAAAGTTGTGGGCTAATGGTGAAATACCTTGAGGGTTGAAATGTTTGCCATTCATCTATTAAAACCCTTAGGAAAGAATCATCACAATTTCCTTAAAACCTGCTTGTGTTTCCTATTCTCATTCCACATGTTTGTGATGGAATGAAAGAAATCTGCAAAGTGTGATCCTGATAATAATGGCACTATGATGACTGAGGTGCTGGTTTTCTCACTGGCTTTCTTGTTGTTGTTTTTAGACAGTGTTTTGCTCTGCAATTCAGGCTACCCTTGAACTGATTTTTTTTGCCTAGGCTGGTATTGAACTTGCAGGAAACCTGTTTCCTCAGCATCACAAGCCCTGGGATTATATGAGTGTGCTACCATGCCCAGTTGAGACACAATTTTTCTGGCATGAGTTTCTAGAATATATAAGCTGCATAGTTTTGGAAATTTCCAAAAGAGTCTTTCTAATTTCTTTCTTTTTTTTTTAACAGACAGACAACATTTTACAAAATAGTAAAAGAACAGTACAGACAATACGGAGTTACAAACAAAGTGGTAGGGAATTAACAATGCTTGTTGTATTACATATTGATATCTTCAAAGTGGTTTCTCATGAAAACAGATATAGACATGCAATACTAATCAACCAAGACTCTAATTTCTCTTATGTCTTATTATCAGACATTATTAAGAGTCTTGTATTTTGGTATTCACTTTTCCTTGGTCTTTTCAATTCACCAGAGATGATTACTTTATATATTGTATCAAATATCTCAAATTACATGTATAAGGAACTATGGAATCATAAGAATAATTACTATTCCATTCCTACGGCATGTTTGTTATTTATGGGCACATAAAATCTCTAGGAAAGAAGGGATATAATTATTCACATTTGACAGATTGGGTAACTTAACTGTGACTCAGATTTGCTAATTGACTTGTGTTTTTTTTTTCCTTTTTTCGGTTTTTTTCCTGTACCGGGAATCGAACTCACGACCTTGTGCTTGCCAGGCAGGAGCTGTGCAGTTGAGCTAAATCCCCAGCCCCGACTTTCATTTCTTTAAATTAGATTTTGTTGTTACATTTCAGATGTACATAATGGTCACATTCATCATAGAGAATTTGTAACTGTGTATGATATCACTTGCTTTTTGCTCCCCATTCAACTATTGTCCTTTAAACCCCTTCTCCCTTCCCCATTTACAAAGCTTTATTTCTGTTTTCCTGATTTTCTTTTTTTTACTTTTCATTTCTTTTCCTTCCCCCCCTCTCTCCCTTGTCCCCTTTCCTGCTTTAATATTTTCCTCCTATTTCACAATATTATATATTTACAGACCAGGTAACTGTGGCTCATATGTGTTAACTGACTTTTCAGGACCTTCATTTGATCAATGTCAGACCAGAGATGTAAATTTTAGTCACCAGTGGCATAACCTACTGAGCAACATCTGTTCTCTATGAATTTTTTCTGACAATAAACCAGAGTAAAGATAACACTGAAATTACATCACTGCATGGCTGTCCCACCCACAATTATTGCCTGGGAAGAGCTTATTTCCTTACACATACAGGCAATTCTCTTTTCCCTACTTTTACTTTAAAACATAGTGTTTATAGTATATACCCAGCACTTCTTCCACTTTCTGGAGACACAAAGGTACAGAAGACATTGTGCCTGATTTTGAAATGTAAAAATTGAGAAAAAAACAAGGAAATACTTTCCATTCCACATAATAATTTCTTCGCAGATATGCTGTGGGAAAGCAGAAATAGAACGCACATCCAGCCACCAGTGGGAAGGGCTGGGACAGTCAGGAGGACAGTGGTGATTCCAGGAGGGTGTGACGTGGACCTGGCCTCCGAAGATGGAAAGGACTGGGGGAAATCCCCAGGGTCTGGTGAAGCCACAATGTTGGTTGAGATGATAATGATGGTGATATTTGTGATAAATAATTTTTCTTGCTTTCTTCTACAGGCATTTATTGTTTGTTTAACCCCATGAAGATGAATAAAAAGAGAAAATTTTCCAGTTATACTGACATAAGAAACATAGTTTTCTTTGAAGTCTCCATTGGAATCACAGCCAACACTGTCCTGCTTCTGTTCCACAGCCTCACATTTCTCCTCAGGCACAGGCCCAAGCCCCTGGACCTGACTATCGCTCAGTTGGCCCTGATCCACCTGGTGATGCTGGTAACTGTGGGCTTCATAGCTACAGACACTTTTGGGTTTGAGGGTTGGGGCAGCGATCTCATGTGTAAATCAGTTATCTATGTGAACAGGTTGATGAGGGCCCTCTCCATGTGTACCACCTGCCTCCTGAGCGTCCTCCAGGCCATCATGCTCAGTCCCAGAAATTCTTGTTTGGCAAAATTCAAACATAAATCCACACATTACTACCCATGTGGCCTTGTCTTTCTATGGATCTTCAATATGCTCCTGAGTGGTCGCTACTTATTCTCTGTGGGTGCCACCTCCAATGTGACCTCTCACAGTTCTGTGTATGTCACTGAATCCTGCTCTCAGTGGCCTATTAGTTATTCATTCAGGTACATATTTTTGTCACTGGTGAATATTCAGGATATCTCCTTCATAGGGCTGATGGCTCTCTCAAGTGGATACATGGTAAGTCTCTTATGCAGGCATAAGAGGCAGTTCCAGTACCTTCACAGCACCATCTTTTCTCCAAAATCATCCCCAGAAGAAAGGGCCACTAGGACTATTCTGCTGCTCATGAGTTTCTTTATGCTCATGTACTTTTTAGACTGTGTTATTTTCTTATCCTCTGGAATAGTGTGGGAAAATAGTCCAATTCATCATTGTGTCCAGATGCTTGTGGGCAGTGGGTATGCCACAATCTGTCCTTTTGTGCTAATGAGCACTGAAAAACGAATGATCAGGTGCTGAACATCCAGGTAGGGAAAGAGAGTAAATGTTCAGTCATGGTAATTTCCACTCATATAAAGCAAATACATTGAATTTCTACTAAATTGCTGAACTATATGTAGTTATGCTTTTTTGGAAACATTTATTTTGTGTATTATGTGACCAGTATATTGTAGATAATTTAGCACTCGAACTCTGGAGAAACAGAGACTTCATTGATTGATGGGCGTTTGGGCTATTTTCAAGATGTAGTTATTACAAACTGTGCCACTACAAACCAGGGTGTTTATGTGCCATTTTTAGTTCTTCTGGGAAGATACCAAGAATGTGAGTCAAATGGAAGCTCTAGTTTATTTTTTCTAAGTAATCTACACACTGTTTTCCACAGAGATTATACCACTCTTTTCTCCCACCAAAAGTGAAGGATTCCTTTTCACACAAGCCTTGTCAGCATTTTTTATTTGTTGATTTCTTGATGATAGCCATTCTTTCTCAGGTGAGATGGAATCTCAGCATTGTTTTCATTTGCATCTCTTGAATGACCAGAGATGTTGAACATTTTTTTCATATATTTATTTGCTATTTGTACTTTTTTAATCTAAGAAGTGTGTATTCTCCTGTGCCCATTTTTTGTTTGGGTCTTTAAAGTTGAGGGTCTCTTTATTTTCAATTCTTTATATGTTCTAGGTAAAACTTCTCTGAGGAACAACTGGCTAAAAATTTTCTCCCACCTTGTGGGTTGTCTTTTCTCCTTTTGGATGATTTCTTTTGGTGTGCAAAATCTTTTTAATAAAGTGAGATTTCCATTTTTTATTATGTAAAGTATTTTCTGTGCAGTCTGGGTTTTGTTCATGAATTCTCTGCCTACACTTACATCTTCAAGATTTCTACCTATCCTCTCTCCAGGCAGATTTAGCATTTCTGTTTTAATATTTAGATTTTTGATCCATTTTGGTTTCATTTTAGTGCTTTATAATAGACATGGGGCTAGGTTTATCCTTTGTCACATAGAAAACCACTTTTCCAGCACCATTTATTAAAGAGGCTATCTTTCTTCCAGTGTACTTTGTCAAAGATAAGGTGGCTGAGTGTGTCTGTAGTTTCGTCTGCATCTTCTCATCTATTGCACTGGTCCTCAAGTCTACATTTTGCCAGTACCATGCAGTTTTAATCACAGGAACTCTGCAGTATAACTTCAATGCAGGGATTGTGATGACTCCTATCTTGTGTTCATTGCCCGGAATTGATTTGTCTATTTTAGGTCTGTTCTGTTTCCAAATAAATTTTAGGAAAGATTTGTCTAATTCTGAGAAGTAGGTGAATGGCGTCTTGATTGGGATTGCATTAAATCTATATAACAATTTTGGAAACATGGCCATTTTCACTGTGTTCATTCATCCTCTCCATGAGCAAGTGATATCCTTCCATTTTCTTATATCCTCTTAGATCTCCTTTTTCAGAATACTATTGTTTTCAATGTAGAGATCTTTTACTTCCTTTGGTAAATTGATTCTTAGGTATTTCATTGTTTTGGATCGTACTATGAAAAGTGTTGTTTTCCTAATTTCTCTCTCAGTGAGTTTGTGTTTTGTGTACAGGAAGGCTATTGATTTTTGAGTGCTGCTTTTGCATCCAGTAATGCGACTGAATTTGTTTGTTACATCTAGAAATGCTTTAGTGCTTTGGGGGATCTTCTATGTAGAATATCATGTCATGTGTAAATTATTATTTAACTTATTCTTTTCCTATCATTATTTCTTTTATTTCAGTTATGTAATAGTTCTCACTGATTTTTCCTGAACTATATGGAATACAATCAGTGATAGTGGACATCCTTGTGCTGTTTCTGTTTTTAAAGAAAAAGTTTTCAGTTTTTGAATATGTATTATGATGTTGGCTGTTGGTTTGCCATCGATGACATTTTTCTGATTGAGATAAAGACCATCTATTCCAATATTTGTGTGGTTTTTATTCTGAACATGTGTTGGACTTTGTCAAATACTTTTTCTGCATTTACTGAGGTGACCATGTGATTTTTTGATGTTAGCTGTGTTGATATTGTGTATTACATTTACTGATTTGCATATGTTAAAACATACTTGTATCCCTGTGATGAATCTTACTTGAACATGGTGTATAATCTTCTAGATGCTTTGCTTCATTCACTTTGCCAGGGTCTTATTGAGCATTTCTGCATCATGTTGATGTGTTGGTTTGGGGTGGTTTGAGTTTTTTTTGCAAGGGCCACAATTTAATACAGGACACATATTTTATAAGATTATTTATAATAGTCACCCAAAGAATGATATGCAAAAGAGTGCAGGAAATCTGTCTACACAGTAAAGACCAAAGAATCTAGCCAAGTGCCTGGATCCCATGGAAATAGCCTGCATGAGTCCAGCTCAGTAACTAGAGG